TCTCTCTCTCATTCTTCTTCTTCCCCCTCTCCCTCTCTCTATCTATCCCGCCCCTACCCCCAGGTAGACTATTACAACGGACATTTTATCCTCATCGTTGATGACGTAGTATTTTAGTTTAGTAAGAGTTTTACGGCGCTCGAAACTGCGTAAGGTCATTTGGGCACACGAAACACAAGTTGGTTGCATTCACACCAGTTCACAGCACGTCTCCTGATCGGCAGAAGTGCACTGCAATCGTCTCTGACGAGGAAAACTTGAGCCCGTTTTCGTTTGCCCGCTTTTCAAGTTTGTGCAGCTGCGTTCGCATGGGCCGTGCCACTCTCCCGTCTTAAAGGAAAACCTGAGCCAAAGATTGAAAGAGGTGTGTTGACGAAGGACAGTCCGCAAACTGATCTCACCTGTACCACCAGGTACCCGGTTTCCCTCTGCACGGGTCGTACCTCATGGTCAGCAAGGCGCCCACTCTGTGAGATGGATGACCTTCAGTGTTGCTGCACTTGAGGTCAGTGGTGGATGAAGAGACAGAAGGAGAAAGAAAGAAGAAAGGAAGGAGAAGAGGAGGATATTGCACATATTATGTCGCACATGGATCCCAGAGGGTGGGGGTCCATGTGCAACACTTCGTCATTGGGGGGGTATCACCTCCTGCAGACGGGGCAGACGGAATTTATTATTCCACAACCCACTGGGAGGCTCTTTACTGTTTCAAACATGGTATTGACAATAAATAGATAATAATACTTTTGAATCCATTTATATTTTCACGTTGCTTTTTTATACGCGTGATTACGATAAAAATTCCTGAGTGTGTATGATGAAGTGGCCAGTACTATGTGAGGGAAATATAAGTGTCTGGATCTGTAACAGTTAAAATTGGAGGTTGGGGGCTGGGGGTGGCAGGAGGTACAAATCAACAGTTTATTTACTCACCAGGAAGTTTTGATTATTTCTCAAAGTAATGTTAGAGCACACGGCAGTATCAAAATTTATTGTTTCTGCATAAACCTTGTTGGTCACTCCCAGTAGCAAGGATATTGTGGTCACGCTGACCACATGTGTCAGCGTAGCAGTATTACATGTGCCGGACGATGGCGTTCCCCCAAAGGTCGGCAACTTCCAGAGCTGGAACCCCTGGCACAGTAAACAGAACAGTTTCAGTCTGCCTTCACTCGTTCTGAACACCGGGTGTGTTATATGTTTGCAGTAGTGAATAAGCCTCGTATCGTTGACCACACAAGATCCAGCCTCACTTCCGCTGTCGAGGGCCGGGAGGAGGTTGAAGTCGGGGTCACACTTCTGTGGAGGTGGTACAACTTTTTCCGACGGTGGGGAGATTCGGATATCACACAATTGGTCTAACTTACGTGACTCCAGAAACAGTTCTTCCTCTGACATGATGGTGTATAACGTCTGGTAATGTCTGCAAGAAATCTGGACGGACCACTTGTAATAATATACCGTCGTGCTGTTGTTGAGTGACAGGATATACCCAGATCCATTCCCATCGCTCGCCGTCTCTACACGGCCCGTGTAGCCATTTACATTGCACAGTAGACAGTAGACATTTCTATACACAATCCCTGTTGTTTTGGGTGAGATAGGGGTACAGCCCTGCAGACTTTCACAAGGGCTCGCCTCACATAAGTTCCGCAGCGTGCTGTTTGATTCACTCTCCGGACATTTTGATTCTGAGAAGATGAAGTGGTACTTGTCTTTATGATCGAATTCTGTGCACGCAAGGCGTACAAAATCTGAATGTCTATTGTCGTGATTTGTAGAAACATTCCTTTCTACTGTTGTTGTGTTTTCAATGTGTCTGCCAACTTCATCAAAAATTCGTTGAGCCCTGTGGTGATGATAAAAAGGGCAACAAGTGTCATAGACATTACACGACTCGGAGCATGAGCAGAAGCTGATACAACACGCAGACCATTTCTTCAAAGATATATCCTCACTATCAGAACAACGTTGATCACAACAGTCGATATGAAAGTCTAGTCCTCGAGTTACTCCAGCTTCCCACTCTTAAGAGGCCCCTTCTGGGTCTTTCGGCACCAAGGCAGGCCAGTCATTTTCGTAGTCACTGACACGAGAGTTTTTCTCTTGAATACCGGATTTATTCTCTGAAGATAGAAAGCCGTCATCTTCATCAGAATACCAGTAGTCTTTATCAAAGTTGTCTTCAGAAAATGCTCATCGAACAACGACGGAGATTGTAAAAGGGATCAAAAACACGTGTGGAAGCTTCATCGCGTGCAAGTGGAAATATTCCAAGTCCAGGACTGAAGGCTCAGCTCCTGGGGTTGAGGGATCGTAATGCTTTTAATATAAAAAAAATCCCCCATTCGTTACTTATTAAGACGGAGCTTTATTAATTGAATTCCCCTAATAAAAAATTTGCCTTGTTTTCCAGATCTAAAATTTATTCCCACTGCGGGTCTTGTCGGTTGTATCAATCAACAATTAACAACACAGAAGTAAAATTTAATGTGAGAAATAAAATCCACGT